TAAATAAAATGTTTAATGTTTGCTGATGATATAAAACTTTTCCATGCAGTGACCGGAGCTGAGGATTGTATGGCATTACAGCGTGACATTGACGCAGTGGTTGAATGGAGTGTAAAAAATAAATTGCCCCTTAATAATTCAAAGTGTAAGACTCTAACTTTTTTACGGTCACGCAATCCAATCACAACGACATACCAGCTAGCAGGCACTCCATTAGGACGTGTCTATACAATTCGCGATCTAGGCCTAATCATGGATAGTAAATTGAATTTCCATGAACATATTATTAAAACGTGCAAAGAAGCGAATAAAAGTCTAGGTTTCATAATTAGAACTTCGCATCAGTTTAAAAATGTCCGTGTGATAAAACTCCTGTATAATGCCTACGTGCGAAGTAAGCTAGAGTATAATGCCTTAGTATGGAACCCCCGAGAAACCATGTATACAATGATGGTGGAAAAAATCCAACATAAATTTGCCAGATATCTGTATAAACGCCAGTATGGATACTACCCATTTCTATATCCGTCAACATTTGTATCGGGCATGGTTGGTCTGGATACCCTACAGTGTAGGCGGGAACTTATGCATATAATGCATTATTATTTCTTGTTAAGTAACAAAGTAGATAATCCTGCAGTTCGTGAGACCATACATCTTTATTTACCGGACCATTATGTGCGAGGTGCTGGTAGACGAAAACGTAGACTCCTCTCCTGTCTGCGTACGTGGCGCTCCCCACACGCAGATAACAGTCCCACTTCCAGAGCCGTTAGACTAATAAACTGTTTTCTCAGGGCCAATTCAGACGCAGATATATTTTTTCACAAACCCAGCGCAATGTATAAAAATGTATTAATATTCTTAAACAACTTTGTAAGATAGCAGAATAGTATATGTTTAGGTAATTAAGTTTAATTTATGATAAAGTAAATAGATCTCATTATACTGTTGTGGCTGTAATGTAATTATATTGTGTATGGTAATGTTTAATAATTGGTGATTTTTTTTCTTGTGTATTTTATCTTACTTTGTAAATTTAGTATAGATATAAGCGATTTGGTTGTATATACTGTAAGCTTATATTTTATCAATAAATGAATATGAGATTCCGGGTTCGAATCTCGGGTTAAACCATTTATTGGGTTTCTCGGTGAAGAAATTCTCAGTAGAAGCCCGGAGACGGGAACTCAACGGTGATTTATTTCCATGCCTCCGGAAGCACATAAAGCGTTTGGTCCTTGTTGGATGTTTGATTACCGTCTCATCGGACTATGAGAGTGAGATTAAGTACCTGTGCTTACGCATACAGTCTGGTACTATAATCCTGTCCTGTGCAGAGGTCAGACTGGCCGCCGTGATCGAAATTTGGCCTGGAGGACAATATGAAAAGCGTGCCAAGCGTGGTAAATAGCGATTAAGGCGAACCCTAACGTAACTACGTACTTACTGTTTTTGTGTGGTAGAGCCACGCTGCAGCTATATTAGTAGTTTAGTTGTAGCGACGGCTCGACCGGGGAAGGACCACGCTCTCACAGAAAATCGCAGCTTGACGCTGCTGTGCCTCGTATGGAGAATGTAGAGAACCGAAAATGCAAGTCCACACACGTGACAACGTATCTGCATTTTGATTCGTAGTCGAGGATAGATGTAGATATCTATGGGTCACAGCAACTATTTAATATCAGGTGGTCTGTGTAATCGTTTGTCATCTTTATTATATAAAAATTTATTACATTAAAAACGATCCGAGAAGAAATTACGAAGTTATTTGAGAAAAATAGTTTCTTCGACATTTTTCGTTAAGGATTTCTCTTAAACGCATCAACCGACTTTGATGCGGTTTGCAGCGATCGACGATCTTTTTCGAGTTTAAGTACTGATAGATTTTTAATTTTGAAATTGATAATTACACCTGTTTAAAAGTTGTTTCAAAAAATTATTTATAAATTTTTAATTTTTGAGTTATTTTGAAATCGACGAATCGGTTCAAATTGAGTTTAGTGAAGCCCTTTCGAATGCCGCCGAGTTCTTTCAAATCAGTTAAGCCATTCAAAAGGTATGAGAGGGTTATACACACACACACACACACACACACACACACACACACACACACACACACACACACACACACACACACAAGAGCGCACACACACACACACACACGCCGCCGGTGGCACGCACGCACGCATTCATTCATGCACGCACGTACGTACGCACGCGCGTACGTACGCACGCACGTACGCACGCACTGACGTACGCACTCACGCCATGACGCACTCATTATCACACGCACGCGCGAATGTACGCACGCACGCACCCAATGATGCACTCATTCACACAGGCACGCACGCACGTACGTACGTACGTACGAACGCACGAACGAGTGCACGCACGCATGCACGTACGTACGCACGCACAAATGCACGAACGCGTGTACGCACGCACGCACACATGCACGCACGCACGTACGCACGCACGTACGCACGCACGCATGCACACACGCACGCACACAAATGTGCACGCGCATGAGCACACTCACACGCGCGCGCGCGCGCGCGCACGCACACACACAAACACATGCGCGCACCTAGGATCGTAGGATCTCTAAACGTGGGGAGATCTGATGAGAACACGATTTTCGAAAACCGGGGTGAAACTAATAACTTTACGATTTTTTGAAAGTCATTGATTTTTATAGCGGGAAGTCAAAAAGTAACAAATTCAACTTCAAGTTCGATACCTCTTTATTCGACTGGAAATTTCAATTTCAAGTTAAAGTTACATTGATATCCATTCTGAAGATATTTTTTTTTTCTAATAGAATAAGAGTGATTGCGGAGAAGTTTTTGGCCAAAAACCAAAAGGTTTTTTGTGCGTTCATAGACTTGAAAAGGCCTATAACAGAGTGGACAGGGATGTGCTATGGCAAACACTGAACTCATTTGGGTTGAGCGCTGGGTTGATACAGGCATTAAAGTTTCTTTATAGGGACTCTAGTGCTTGTGTTAGGATCAACGGGGTCTACTTGGACTGGTTTGGCATCCATAATTTGGTTTGGTGTCAGACAGGGCTTTCCCGTGGCCATTCAACCTATTTATGGACAGTTGTTTGGAAAATTTGAAAGTTGAAGAATGCGGATTAAGAATGGGTGAGTTAACCGGCAAATGCCTTTTGTACGCCGATGATCAAGTTATGCTTGCGTAGTCGGCGGCCGAGATGCAAAATGATTAAAGAAAGATTAAAGAAAGGGGTATGAAAGTGAACGCAAATAAGACGAAAGTTATGGTCTTTGAAAGAGAAGAAAGTAAAACGATATGGGAAATAAGAATAGAAGGGGAGTCGATCGAGCAAGTAGATGAGAGTCTATATTTGGGATGCGTATTTAGCAGGGATGGGAGATATTATAAGGATATAGAACGACGAGTGAACGCAGAAAATAGTGTAACTGGGGCAATGCACTCTATTGTGAAGAGTCAGAATGTGTCAAAAAAGGCATGTATGGCAATTCCTATACATGCCTTTTTTGACACATTCCTACTTTAACGTATGGTAGTGGAAGTTGAGTGTGGCAGAAGAAGCACGAGAGTAGAATAAACGCACTAGACATGCGGTCGCTAAGGAGTACGTTAGGGCTGAATCTGAATGACAGGGTGAGAAATAGTGTGATAGGAGAAGAGTGTGCTTTGCAAGATGATGTTGTGACCAGAATTAAGAAAGGAACGCTTCGAGAAAAAGAGAAAATTTATTTTGCAGAAGTGAACGGCAGAGTCGGAAAGGGACGTCCTAGGCGAAAGTTTATTGACCGGTCCAAATTGGCGATATATTGAAAACGGGCCGAATTAGGAGTACCCTTAACCGACGAGCATGTATGCGTATGTATATGGATGTGGAGGAGGCGAGAGAGGTGTGTCCGGATCGTGCCAAATGGAAGTCTGTAGTCTCTGCCTACCCCTCTGGGTGACGAGCGTGAGTGCTTATGTATGTATGTTATGTAGAATAAGAGTGACAAACGAGCACACAATCCACCTGATGGTAAGTGGATGTGGCCCATAGACATCTACATCTATCCTCGTTTGCAAATCAAAATGAAGATGCGTTGTCAGCCCTGAGGACTAGGACGAAATGCCTCGTTTCTCTAAACTCACCATACGAAACACAGTAGCATTAAGCTGCTATTTTGCTACAACAAAAATAATGTAGCTACAGCGTGGCTCTACTACGCTTAAAATTAAGTGTATTGAAAAGTGGCACATGTTAGATAGATATTAGTGTTCGTCGTAATGGTTGGACCTGGGGGATAAATCCAAACCGTCTCCAAACGCAAAATTATTAAAAAAAAGCTGCTTGTGACTGAGCGGTGGACCTTTGTCGGTATTATTCATTACAGCTGTATTATTCAAACAACTGAGTTGAGATCCTAATGTAATTTTCAAGAAATGCAAATTTTGAAGTCCGATAAGGTGATTGAAACACAAATTAAAAAGTTTCGATTGCTGTTTGTAATATCTGCAGCAGAGACATCACTGGACCTCCAATAAAATGGCAAAAGTTTATCGATACTAATGGCTTCGATTAATTAAATATCATTTCGAGGGGTACGTAACATATTATTTACTTATAACAAAATAAAATTAATGAAATATCCAAATGTACTTATAATAAAAGTTGTGCTTTATCATATAACTTTTATTTATTTATTGAATTAATGTACTTAAGATTTTCACTATTCGCTGTTGTCAATAGATGCAAAATCCACACAAGCTCGGTAGTTTTTATATTACATAAGTCTTTGAGACGGGTTGGATATGGGGTATTATTCCCAGTAGTTTTATCTTTCTTATATCTATGCTTCTCAAGTAGTGTTGCTAGCATCTGTAGCCTTCTTCGTTTGATGTTGGCTGTTGGTGCTATGGGCTGCACTGCAGTAACCACTTAACACCAGGTGGACTGTATGTCTGTCGCTTAAAAAGTAATAAAGGTGATGTGTTTGTTTATAGGGCGTCAGATCGAGGGTGTATGGCACACGGCGGTGGTGGTCTTTAACCGCGAGTACTTCTACGGTAACGCCGGCATCAGCAGCTGTGCGCCGGTGAGTCCTTTAATACAGTTAGAAGTGTTCCTCTGCCCCATAGTCTGTAATCCTTAGGACTTAGGGATGTCAATGCTTAGACGAAACCTCACTTTACTTCGTTTTAAGAGAGAATGTTCTGAGGAGAATTGATTAAGATGGTATGTGCAGTTGAACGCCGATATTTCCTTAATTATATTGATAACTCTTCTGCGCTGTGGAAATTTATTAAATCTATCGCTCTCTGCTACGTTAGAAATAGAAATTAAATTAGAAGACTTATTGAAAGTCACTCTTAAGCGTAATTTACCACTGGTTCGGAAAAAACCTCTGTCCTGGAAAGAGCCAGCAAGAAACACAGTGACAAAAAACAGGTTATAAATATATTATGAGAGCCGCTCGCTATAATGTCACATTACGCGAGCATATTAAAATAAATTATTTAAAATGTATTTATATATAATTGAAAAAAAAAAATATTTCTATGAAATTACAACAAAAAAATTGATTCTGATAACGCACTTAACGGGAGTCACAGGGGTTTTGTTACATGTTGTATATTATATAACTTTAACAGTCAGCAGGTACCATTGACTTATATATTACTAGCGTAAGGACCGGACCGACCAAACAACTAAAACGGACCAGTGCGCTGACCCTAAAATTACAGTTTAGGGCCAACGCGAATCAGTCTACAGTAGTGCGAGCGCAGGACAGATTTGCCTGTCATAAATATGTCAAGCTGCGTGGTAAAAGAATGCAAAAATTACGATACGAAGATTAAAAAGGAACATGGGATATCGCATCATCGGTTAATAATCCTGTATTAATTTTGTTACAATTAAATTATTATATGAACGCATTTTTAAAGTTTTATTTTACAGTTAGTTTAGGTACGTTACCAATAATAGGCCAGGGTTAGATTCAGACCCTCAAAAATATTGTACATGAAAAATAAAATTATACTATTTTTTTTAAAATATATCACGTTTGACGTTTCATGTTTCTTTTTTTCCCATGTGGCGAGATTTTGGCGTCACGCGTCTAGTTTATATATATGTTTCGTTTTTGACGGTTTTATTTTTATTTCCGTTGTATTTTTGTCTAAAAAACTTAGAGTAAGTTTAATTTTGAGTATTGTTAAATACTCAAAATTAAACTTATTTTTATGGAACTTACTTATATGGTATAATGGTAAAACGAAAAGAGTATAATAGAAACCATATCATAATCATAATTTATTTGCAGAAAACATGGTACATTACAGGTTGGTAAATTATTTAAGTAGTATCTGCTTAATTGAATCTGAAAATCTGATTCATAAAATATTTTGAAATTCTGCTTTCAAACCGAGTGCTTCTGGAGCATAGAATTTTAATCGTGGTAGCCCCTCATTATAATTGTATCAAGGATGCAACATAAATGCATCGATCGAGCACCGATTGACCAGAAAGGGAGCTAATTCTAATTTTATTAAAAAAAGACGTGTGGCACTCGGAGACTGCCGCGGTAAAGCTATTGCATAGCATTTTGTATCAACTTATGCAATTATAATTATTTATTTATTTTATTTATGCAGTATTTCTTTTTCTTTGATATTAATTCAAGTTACTTAGGTTAATCCAATCAAATTCAACCAGATTTAACCGAACCCGCGTTATAACGAACTCACTATTTGTGAAAAATACTGTACCTATCATCTGACCGCGTCGCAAAAAACTCAGGTTCGCGCAGTACATACGTCAGGGCGGCCGTACGGCAATTATATTAACAAGACGCGCAACTACTCAGTTCCACGCTCCACGGCAAGATTTGTCACTTATTATTTATTGTCCAATTAATTGTCTTTAAGTTCAAATGGCACGCTCTATTAACATAAGTCTAAGACAAAACAAGGAGACTTTCAATATATGAACAACCCGGCTTCGCGCAAAAACTCTCGCGACCCCTATAATGCGACCGGAGAACGTCATCGGCGCAGGCGCCGCGTGCCTAGCTAGGAGCGCGCCCTAGCGGCGGGCCGGGTGCAGCCCGGCCCCGCCGTCTGCTCCCTAGCTCGGCTCGATGCCAACAGGGGTGACTAAAGATGGGCGAAACTGTTATATTTTTCTAATTCGTTATGTTGTTGTAATACATTTTTCTAACTGTTGTTTTAAACTGTTATAATATATTATAACAGTTTTAAATATTAAATTGTACACGCGGTTAGTTCAGTTCAGTCGTTGGCTGTGTTCGCGTTTTGTTTAACGAAAAATAAACAAAAACAACAATAGCTTTTTCACGTAATATGGGGACCTGCTATCAAAACATTACGTATATAATTTAACAGATAACAGTGTCATTGTCATCTCAGCTAGACAGCTAACTGAACACTAAACTGATATATTATATATTACAACAGCCAAATTAAATAACAGGCACAACAGGCAACTAATGAAGGAAATAATATATTTTTGTTTACCGTTATAATTTAGTGTTAGTAAAATAAACTCTTATTAAGTTAGCTTAGAGTTTAAATTGGTGTAAGCTATACGCAATCCTTGTGGCATAATGAATGTAGGTAGTATTTTATTGACTCCCATTGTCTCAGCTGACGCGACGGTTGGACCGTAAACGTAAACAGATGACGCTTTCTAACGATAATGAATATAATATTATAACAGTCAATGGTTCATTATTCTAATGTGTTGTAAGATTAAAAATATATAATGAAATATATTATCTGTTGTATGTTATAACGCCCAACTTTAGGGGTGACCGACCGCGCGCACAAATGCAGCTAGCCTCCCCCTCCCGCACCTCACTAATCGTCGCTTCACACCGCTTGAGATAAGACGATCTACTATCAGGCGCTAACAAACCCCCGTCCCGGACATAAGGACCTATGTCCGCGAGTAAATTGGCAATTAGAAGACGCTTTGTATTGTTGGTTTTTACAAAAACGATCAACTGGGCAAATGATATCTGGCCCTTTGCTTTGTGAAAAAGCATTACAGTTAAATAAAAAATTAGGTGACGGCGGCTCGTTTGTCGCAAGTAACGGATAGTTATATAGATTTATATCTCTTCATGGAATTTAATCAATGTTTATTAAAAAATAATAATTTCTTAATAAACATTGATTTTCGTTGAAATTGTTGTTTTTAATAAACACATAACATTATGTATGTACATATGTACTACAAATGCACAAAACCCGCTTTTCTTCATACATTCGATCATCCGGATTTTCGATTATCCGAATCCCTAACGGCAACAATTAGTCCGGTTAATCGAGTATATATATACATATTGAGAATCTAAATTGAGAATTTAAACTATACGCGTGTGTGTGTTTGTGTGTATATAAAGAGGGCTACTTTTAATATCAAAATATCAAAAATTTAGGTTATCTTTATAGCAGTAATATATTTTTAATTCAAAATTAGTACTGCATTTGTGATAATAATAAAATGTAGGTATGTATATAGAGTACTCACTCATTTTCTTTCACTATTTTTTCGTGACTTTCTTCATTAATAATAAATGCACTTTGTTCATTCATATTCAAAATTTCAAAACACTTTATACACAAACACCGTGTCGAAGACTGAGGAAAAGAAACGACGTTAGACCGTCGTTAGACAATGCACGGCCTTCAAGCCACACCTCCGTGCCCGTCGGAGAGCGTGAGGTTTTTTTCGTTACGGAATTTCTGGATTTTCCCGCACTCAAGGCCCGCGATAGAAGCTATGCAATAGCTTAAAATATTTCGAAAACATGTGAAGTTCGCCAACACGCATTGGGGCAGCGCGGCGGACATTTCCTTGCCCTAAAACCCTCTCAGAAATGAGAGGAGGCCTGCGCCCAGCAGCGGGACGTATATAGGCTGTAACTTAACTTTAACTTAAATATATTCTACACTATAATTAACAACACAAAACAAATTAGAAATAGCATGGTAGCAAAATAGCACCTTATTCCCAGGGATAATTATCATCCTTAAATTTCTTAATATAATAACCATTTTATACAGACTTTGTTTAATAAAGTTTGTAAACTTGGCTTAAGTCAGATTTTGTATATTTTCTAGGATTTTGTTGTAAAAGCGTATACGTCATCTTAGGAATAAATTACTGACTCTGTAGAGTCGAATAACTGGTAATACTAGTTTGTGTCTGTTCCTAGTATTTATATAAATTATATAATATAATTTATTTTATTTAGTATATTTTCTGGGATTTTGTTGTAAAAGCGTATACGTCGTCTTAGGAATAAATTACTGACTCTGTAGAGTCGAATAACTGGTAATACTAGTTTGTGTCTGTGCCTAGTATTTATATAATAAAAATTATTTTATTGAAACTTCTTACATTTTTGTGTACATATATTGAATTGTGGTCCTTCTTTATTACTTGATGCAAACAACCAATATTTCGCTTCTCTAAAAGTAATATACCTTACAATTCCCTTTTTGTAACCCTTATCCTATAAAAAAACTTTATTAATCTATTGCTGTTATGAAAACTCCTAACATTCCTTTCCTGGGTGATATCAAAAATTCTATTTTGTTATTTCAAGGAATTACTTATATCTACTACTAATGAAAATTCAGAAATTACTATATATTTAATACTACATAGAAGATTATTTATGTAGACCAAGAATAAAACAGGGCCAAGTAGCCTGTCTATCCCTGAGGGAGACCCACTTTTATCACATCTCCCGATGACACTTCAGTGGTGATTGCGACCCGTAGCTCTCGATTTGAGAGATGTGACGATAGGACATAAAGCGCGGCATTATGAATACTATATTATTTAGGCTTATTAATTAAAGTTTTATGGTACACTACAATAAAAAAATAAGTTACAGCTTAGCGTAGGCATGGTCCTGGTCTCATTTCTGAGCGGGTTTTTGAGCTATTAGATCTCCGCTCTGCTCCAGGCGTTGTTGGTAAACTTCACTTCGTCTAAAATATTTTTATTCCTTAAAGATGCATGTTTTCTCATGATGTTTTCCTTCATCGTCGAACACGAGGT